TGGTGATCGGGGCTTTTTTGCAGAAAAGCGCGTCTAGATTGGCCACAGACGCTTTTCCGCAAAAAGTGCTTTTCCGGAAAGTGTCCGTGCCAATCTAGACGCACTTTTCCGAAAATGCTTTTAACGGAAAACTTTTCCGTTAAAAGCATTTCCGGAAAATCATGCCAGTGTAGACGTAGCCCTACAGTATCTACTTGGTACAGTCTCTTTTAAGTTAGGCCATAACCTTTTGTTGTGTGCTGCGTAGCAGACTCCATGTCCCACCCCAGAGATGGCACCATTTTTAGGGGTGGATTAAATAGTTCTAGAATATACAGGACCCGATCCAATGGGAGCTGAGAGCACTGAGAATCCTCCAGGCACCCTTCTGTATGGCCCAGCATGGAACTCCTAGCCTGTAAAGTGCAATTGGAATGCAGGATTTTCTTATTGCTATTATCTTTGCAGATAACAAAGAAACAGTGTTGCTGGAGTGGGGCTCTCCGACTTGGATTTACTTCCAAGGATCCCTCCCGGATTAATCCTGATACGTTGCCAAAGTACGCTTGCCCGGACCTGGTCTCCCAGAGTGGATTCTGGGCCAAGGCCCTGCCAGAAGAGTTTGCAAATGAAGGAAACATCATAGCATTCTGGGTGGACAAGAAGGGACGGGTATTTTATCGGGTCAATGACTCTGCTGCCATGTTGTTCTTCAGTGGGGTGAGGACCACGGAACCCCTCTGGGCTTTGATTGACGTATACGGACTCACCCGTGGGGTGCAGCTATTAGGTAGGTGCCTTTCTGAAAATGCTATTTCTTGACTTGAGTGCTTAGAGTGTATCGACCCATGTTCTAGAACTAAGAAATGATGCTGGACAATCCCTGTGATAAATTCTCCAGGTACTGTCTGTCCAGTAGATTAAAAAAAAATCCCACTCGTACCAAATCTGCCGTTGAGAAAGAGAAAGATTGTTAAATTCCATCAGAGTAAATTTTACAATCGGAACCCATAATAATTAGAGTGTTTAAAGCCAATCAAACATTTATTGTCGGAGTAGGAGGATGTTCTACAATAAATCACTAGAAACTATCAGTAAATAAAGGAATTTCTGCCAAGAGAACTTGCACCAATGAAAACTACTTCAGTGCACATACTGCAGTGTGGAATGTACTTTATAAAACTTCCTCTGTCTTGTTTTGCTTTCCCAGTTATGGGGTCGGGAAATGCATTGTATTGTTTGTGTGATTCCTTCTCTGGTGGCAATAGCACGATTCGTTGGGTAGGTGAATGGAAGATTTATAGCTTTGTGATTCCTTCTCTGATGGCAATAGCGTGATTCGTTGGGTAGGTGAATGGAAGATTCATAGCTCACGCTCCCTCCACACGTTCTGGGGTAAGCAGTTGTTATATAGTGGAAAACGTTGCTTTCAAAATATTAGCTCAAAGGAACTGGATCCACTCCCTGGATCCAAAAGACTGGAAACGTGTTTGGGGGTGTGGTATGAGCTGACTTGGATCCAGAGAGGTGCAGTGCAACCTCACCTCTGAATTAATCCAGTGGGAATTGTGACAGTTTGGCCCCTCACAGGAGATGATCAGGCTGGCAGACCCAGGAGCTCTGGAGATCCCAACACTGGAGATCTTTTCGGAACAGAATGGAAGTGCCTGTTTCAAGAAGGAACTAGCTTACTGAAGAGCCGAAGATGTGGCAATGAAAGCCGAAGGGCATAGCAGGGAAACAGACACTAGTGCAGCGATGAGCAGCCAAGACTAGTGAGTGGGTTGCAGGAGTGGCCCTTCTTCATTTCAGAGGACCCTCGTGGTGGGCAGCCTGAGGTCTGTGGCCCACTGGGGTTCCACGTGCAGCCTGTGCACTTCTTCTCTGCCTCCTACCTCCCCGAATCCGCTGGTTCGTACTCTGTCCCTGCTCCTCCCCCACCCTCCCAGAGCTTGAACAGCCGTGGATCAGCTGATTCATGGTGCTCCGAAAGTGCTAGGAGGGAGGGGAGCAGTAGGAAGTGCGGGGCTGCCGTGTGTGAGAAGGGGGCAGACATGGAGTCTGCGGGCCACAGATGGAGCTCCAGTGCTGCAGGTGGCTCTCCACTGATTTAGCACCTCAGCATGTAATGCTGGTCACTTGGGCTTTGTTGTCACTAGGAAAAGCAAGGTGTTCTTCAACTGCGGTAGCTCACCCATGATAACCAGCACGAGGTAAAATCTTAACAGAGACTGCATCTGTCGTTTGAACGCAAGTTAGCACGTGGAGGTGAAGCCCTAGGGTTTGCCCTGCTAACTTGTGGAAAACTATAGACTTGCCTTCACTGGGATTTTACCTTGTGTTCGCTGACATGTGGTAAGGCCACGTCGGTGCTGGTAGGGAAGAGTCAGCTGGATTTGACAGCTCTGTCCTGCGTCCTGCTTCACTCATTGCTACTAAAACAGGGTGGCAACAGTGGATGTAGGGGTGTACAGCAGTAAGCAAAGTAACGCTGAATTCATGAGGCAAAGGGCCTGCCTACACTATAAGGGGATTTCTAACGTGTCTATGTGTTGCGCATTAATTAGCCTGTGTAGACCCAGTTGGTGTGCAGTTCCCAGTACACTAGACCCAGTGCACTAGTGAGTTTCCTAGTGCACTTGAATGCAGTGCAGTTGGACACAGCACAAACAGTGTCACACCCATGTTATCCCGCCATGCAGACAAACTTAAAGAAGCTCTAGGATCAAGCTGTGCACACCTTCTCCTTAAAATAAAAAAGCCAGCCCCTCCGACCGCACGAGCAGGAGTCCTAAAGGCAGCGCTTTGCTTTGTCACAAGAGGATGAGGCTTTATCGTTTGTGGGGCACAAGCAGCTGCGCCCATATTCTGTTAACGGACGTTGGGCCAAGAAGGTGATGACTGTATCGGGAGCTAGAATTGGCAGCTTTTGTCTTGGGGCGGAGGGTTCAGATACGAGGTACTTGGGAAGTGGCACCAAAGTCTCACAAGCTGTTCACCTGAGATGTTTGTCCCTCCAAATGCCATCCCATGATGGATGTTTGCAGAGATCAGCCACACCCCTCGCTCCAAGCTAGGCATTTGGTTTCAAAATGCCCACAGTGATGGTCTCTCATTCTATGTTTTCCCTGTGTTCTGCCTTACCCGTTTCGCCTTGTATCACCCAAAGTACGGAGATCTAAGCAGCAGCTCCCTTGCACTGGACAGTCCTTGCCCGGCCATTGACCCATCCACAGTGGGGCCAGTTCTGCTGTGCCTGTGCCGCCAACATTTTAATTTGGGCTCTTGCTGGCATGCACCCTTCCAATGGAACAGGCTGCTTCCGAGGGTATGTAGTTGACATTTATAGCACGTCACAGCCGATTTCAGCGGGCTTCAGTCCCCACAACTGTGCTGAAGTGTCTGACTCTTGATTCATCAGTGTGAAGCACTAGAATGCATGCAGCATCTAACGTCTTACGACCTCGGATCTCTAGATCTTACGTGCTCATTTTTAATGCAGGCATCTAGACATGTTTTGCAGGCTGAACTTTTCTCCAGAGTTCAGGAACCAGAACTATGGAGTTTTTTATTTTGAGTCTGTCCTATTTTTAATATCACCTAGTAACAAGGAGAGGGGCAAATCGTGCCACCAGGGGCTCACAGAGGTCCCAGTGGAGTTAGTGAAGCCAGGTGCGTATACTGAAGATACTCATGGGTTCATAGAATTTAAGGCACTGAAGGGAAGAAGTTGGCCTCTAAGATACTCATGGGTTCATAGAATTTAAGGTCGGAAGGGACCATCATGATCATCTGTTCTGACCTCCTGCACGTTGCAGGCAACAGAACCACAGCTCTGACCCGCCTGCACGTTGCAGGCAACAGAACCACATCCTCCCCCTCCTGTGACAGACCCCTAACCTCTGGCTGAGTTACCAAAGTCCTTAAATCATGGTTTAAAGACTTGAAGTTACAGAGGGTTTGATGTTTACACTTGTTTAAACCTGTAAGTGACCCATATCCCATGCCGGGTGAAAATTCCCCAAAGTATCTGCCAATCTAAACCGGGGGGGGAGGGGCGGAGCAATATCTTCCAGATCCCAAATGATTTTCTTTTTGGAAAAAAGTAGTTGTTCTGTCGAATGCCTTTGTCAGTGTGGCTCGGGGCAGATAGAACGACTCCATTATTGTTATGTTGGAATTATACTGCTAGTTAAGAGGTCTGTATGGCTATCCATGTTTTCATCCCAGATGCCTTTTTTTTTAATGACCTGCCAGTGCTTCCTGGTCACAGTACAGGTAGCAGAGGGGAGGAAGACCTGTCCCTGGTGACTTCCCCTCCCCCCCACTCCTGTGCTGAAGCCAGGGGCTGGGGGCTGGGGGAGGGGTATGAGGCAAGGGGCCACTTATCTGGTCCAGTGACTGGCAAGATGGTGAGCCCTGGCTCTAGCTGGCCACACTCTTGGTAGTGCAGCTCCCCCGCAATGGTCACTCTGTAGTATAGCTGCCCCCCACGCTTGCTGCCCCGCCAGTGGTCACTCTGCAGTATAGCTGACCTTCCGATCAGCCCCCTCCATGTCCATGTTATGGGAGACAATCCTGTTTCAGACAGATCCTATTTTCCTAGCACAACCAAACCCTGATCTTGCTTCAAATTAGGAGAAGAGGAAGCTGCATAGCAAATTTAGTAGCCTAGCTCTTACTGTTTAGGAGTTCTTGAACAAATGGACTTGCAGACAGACACTCAGAAAGACACAAAATTCTAAAATATATAGATATATAGGTACTCCATATACACCCTTCCTCTGGAGACTTACTCTTCACTAAAAGTTTGTGGATTAGCTTTTCTATAGCTAAAATAAAGTACTGTGTTTCATATTGGAAATTTGAGAATTGCAGCAGTGAAAAGAAGAAAAGATCCTCGTAACAAGGTCCAGTTAGCAGAGTCCCATGTGGGGGATTCTATCAAATTTGTTGGTCCTAGCTCTTACCAGTTAGGAGGAGTTCTTGAAAAAACAGACTTGCAGACAGACAGAGGACAGATGGATGTTTCTAAAATAGATAGCTTTAGATACGTGCACCCTTAGCTAGCAGTGTGATTCTCTATGTATTCTAGCATGATCTATAGCTAAAAGCAAGTACTGTGTTTCATATTGGACATTTGAGAATTGCAGCAGTGAAAAGAAGAAAAGATCCTCGTAACAAGGTCCAGTTAGCAGAGTCCCATGTGGGGGATCACACAGGGCACTGGGTGTAGATAGAGTCGGAGGGAGTGAGGCAGTCTGATTGGTTTTGAAGGGTTAGCGGGGATCTGTTGCAGCTATAGGGAATTTGATGAGTTAATGAGGCAATTAACTCACCATCTGGATAGCTGGGAGAACAATGCAAGTGGTAGAAAAGGCTGAGCCAGGGATTCAGAAGAAGGTCCCATCTACCTTCTGCCACATTGTGTGAGTGGAGGCAAGAAACAATAATAATTACTCGTAATAGAAATGCTTAGTGAAGTTAGCTGGTAGTGCATATGTGTTTAATTACCAGGAGGGCTTCCAAGCCACAATGCCCAGGGCTGGAGGAGAAACCACTTACAATCCTGCTTTCAGCCTCTGTATGTTTACAAGGTATCGAACCTTAAAACGTGATGGAAAGTTGCCCCTTGTGGGCCTCTGGCCAGTGTAAATTTAGGGGGGGAGGGGAATCTATCATTTTGTAAGAAAGGAAGGAAACTTTATCTAACTTCTAAACAAATTAATTCCAGTTGTAGCAAATTGCTACATGGTTTGGGATGTTACAATTAGTCCTGAGTGAGACGGA